CACCCTCCCATCACCCTCTCCTTCCCCCCCCCTCCCATCACCCTCCCCTCCCCTCCCCTCCCCCCCCCAACCCATCACCCTCCCATCACCCTCCCCTCCCCTCCCCCCACCCTCCCATCACCCTCCCAACCCCCCCGCCCCCTCGGGACCCTCTCACCAGGGCAGTCCGTACATGACCTCCCGGAAGGCCGCGTTGTAACCCGGGGTGGAGAACCCGATGTCACCCGCACCACCCACACCCAGGATCTGCAGCCGGACACATACAAACATACATACAGTTGCGTTTAACGTCATACAGATATACATACGGCAGGTGGCTGGTAGAAGTTAATGCCTGACTTCTGCTCCCGGAGGTCCCGGGTTCAAATCCGCCTGCCGATCCCTCGATGTGTGAGGGGTGTTGAATTGGGAGGTGGCCCCCCATCTTGTGGACGGTGTAGGACGTGATAATATCAACTTGCGAGCTGACCAGGAACTAAGTTGACGCGCCGTTGATCCGCTAGATTTGGTTGGATGCTGGTGGTGAGTTGCTGAACCCAAAGAATACACACTGAAGTCGGATGGGGTGGATGGATTAGGGTGCCCCTCTTGCAGGGGAGAGCAGGGAACTGCCTCGGGAAAGTGGGCCGCTGATGAAGCTATACCACCCTGTAACAACATACATACATACATATACATACACATACACATACACATACACATACACATACACAGGTCTGGTCTGGGTTGACACTACTGCAATTAGCGGTTTAAGGTCCTGGGTTCGATTCCTGGGTAGACCCCCGAATTAGTCGGGAGCGCGAGATTATGGCTAGCTGCTGAGATGTGGAGTTGAGGTCACAGTTGATGGACCAGATTCGCACGCTGGATTGGTGGCGATTGCCGAACCCTCCGTCTCTTCAGGTGTTCGGGTGAATGGATGAGGAGGGGTCCCTGAAGGCTGGATCCGCCGCCTTGGACTTGCAGTTCGTATGGCGAAGTACAGTGTGGTAGTGGTGGATGGTGCTATAAGGTGATTAAAGATCTAGAACTGACAATGTGATAAAGCGGCCCAGAAGCCTCCCACTCTGTAACATTACAACATTACAACAACATACACATACACATACACATACACATACACATACACATACACATACACATACACATACACATACACATACACATACACATACACATACACAAAAAAACACTCGCCGATTCTCATCGCGGCTCGGATCATTTTAACACCCGCCCAAGCACTCGCCTGCACGTACACGGCAATGCCGGGGCCCCGTCGTTGTGGCGGTGTCTGCGGCGCCGCGGCCGCTGCCGAGTACTGGTTTGTTGGGGCTGGCGGGGAGAGCTGCTGCTGCTGCTGCTGTACGGGCGACCCGTGCGGTACATGGCTCCCGGCCGCCGCCGCCGCCGCCTGCTGCGGAGTCTGCGAGGGCAGTGGAGGCGGCTGACCAAGTGGGCTGCCGTACTGCGAGTTTCCGTACGGAGGATGTTGATGCTGTTGCTGGCTCAGGGGGGTGTACGGCGCTGCAGCTGCGCCGCCTGCAATAGGGGTCGGGGGATGGGGGGAGATCTACATATGTGGGGTTGGTACCGGTGGTCGACTTGATGTGCTGTGGAGCGTGTTCGGGGGGGGGGGGGAGCTTGTGCCTCATGTCCCTTGGAGGGGCATGCGGCAGGTGACTTCACGACCCATGGGTTATGAGCGGCGGGGGACGAGGAGCGTCTTTCTGCGTGCGGGTGTACGGAGGTACGGTACGCCGTACACGGTGTGCGCGAGCGCAAGGATTGAAAAGGACCTGGGTTCGGAACGCGTGGCTCCACGTACCGGGAGTGCCGGGAACCTGTTGCAAGTATTGCTGCTGATGGTGCGCTGCTGCCTGGCTCGCAGGCTGGTACTCGTCCGCCCAGAAAAAGGAGTTGCTATGACCTTCGGGACATTTAAAAAACCACCTGCGCGTGCGCATGATGTTTGCTTAGGAGACGGACACATCGACGGTTGTAAACGTGATTGCTCACCTGCCAAAGTTCTTGTCCGTCCTTGCTAATAAAGCCCGTGCTACCTGACCACACGTACTGCATCGGGGTAACTCCCCAGTGGGCATCGGCTGCTGCCGCCGCTCGCTGCTCATCCTGTTGCCTACCGAGTTGTAAAGCTAGGTCCAGGCGAACGACTTTCAGATCTGAGCTAGTAGCTGCAAAAAAACTTATGTTTTGCTGCCCTAGAAATTTGGGTCATATTTCGCTGACGAGATTCGATCGAACGGGAACGTGAGTTGGCTCCTTGGAGCAAATATTCATACGCTATAGCTCGTCTCAGCACTGTCGCAAAACATTGAATACAAAAAATATTTTGTGAGCCTTCATCCGTGAGCGAAGAGCAACCCGTTCTGCTAGAAACCGATTACGACGTACAAGAGCCTATCGGAAAAGCATTGGAGGCAATATATGAACGCGCGTCTGGAAAATTTACTGGACAACAGGTAGTTCGCAGTTAACATTTTTCGCACGGTAGCTCCCCTAAGCCTTTAGCCCTTTAGCCCAGCGCAGCACCGTGAGAATCTTAGCCCTCTACAGCCCAAACCCCAGCCCCAAGCCCATGCCCCCGCCAAAGTCTAAGCAGAGTCCAAGGGCTAGCGCGGCAGTGCTAAGGTGGCGAGTGAGAGAATATGAAAAGATTGAATGACCGAATACAAAAGGTCCGCGTAACTTCCCAGGTCCAGGGATTGTGACAGGATCTCCGCAACCACCACCAGCATCCATTGGAATCTGCTGGATAACGGTGGTGGCAGCTCCACACCTGTTCGGCTTGAGGGTCACTATAACCGGGTCCTTCACCGTCCATCGGCGTGTCCCGCTCTTGTCAGCATCAACCGGCGAACTTTCCAGGACTCTTTATTTGCAATGTCTGGAGCGCATTTGTGTTATTTGTTGAGGGGGGACCATTGCAGAGCCTGCGTGTCACCCACAGAGTTGTCCCAACTGCAAGATTACAAGTATGGCCGCTGGCCGTGTACTCCAACACGACCGCCCAGGGTGCAGCAACAAAGGATAATCCTCAGGAATCGGACGCTAGCTAGGTTATGGAAATTTTAATGGGTGCCTGGTTCATTTACATCAAAATGTTATCACAAAAAAGGAAAACTCCGCATACCCATCACAACACGATGGTGCTTCAAAGTAAATAGGCTTACAAGCTACAACCGTGACGCGCATCGCCACCCAATATACCTTCCGTAACCTTGGGCCTCCAAGAACTATTTCACGTAAAAATTATATGGAGTTATTGAGCTTGAGGGCTGCTGGCTAAGTAGAAGTAAAAACGCTGCGTACGAGTTGGATCCGTTGTTTAAAAGTCTTATCATTAAACGCAATGCCACAGAGCCCCTGTTTTTGGTAATCTCAACTCTGTCATAACAAGCTTTTACAAGGAATGACATCAACACTGCAGCCTTACAGGACGACTCCCGTATGCCATCTCAGGCAGCGGGGCTTCTCAGTTTTGTGTCCTCGGCCCTGCAATACAAACCAAACAAGGAGCGAAGTACGTACTAAGGCATTCAGGCTAGGAAATCCCTTTGGGGCCGGTGCGTCCTCCCGCCAACAGCAGACCGCCCTGGTTGCCCCTGACCGTCCACCGGCGAGCAGCAGCAAAGCAGCGTCGAATGGAGTAGCATCATTTCCGGTCATTGCCATAGCAGCCGTTGGCGTTGCGGGGCTTATAACGATGGTGTTCAAGAAAATCAGGAACAATGGGTGAGTCTGGTCAAACATAACCTTGCATAGCAAGGACCAATCTCATACATTCACGTGCATGGAAACGCCAATGGCATAAACTGAAATCAATTATCATTTACTTGTACAGGCTGGATGACAACACGGCGCGCTATAGCGTGAATATGCATCTCGCGAACGTCATGAAAGGTGCGTTTGATGGAATGGTCACACTCCAGCCCCACAGAAGGGGGGACTTGCACACAACGGGCGAGGAGTGTAATACGATCTGCCAGTGTGCTTGCAGACGTCAATACAGTGCGCATCGAAGACCTGTCGTTGGACCAAATCGAGGCGGCAAGAGCACGGCGCAGCAAGGAGAGGTAAGGCCTCTTCAAATCGGTAGAGAAGGTAAAGGCAGTGCGGAAAGATTCATCGTGCTGTGTGCTAAGGTTGTTGGGGCCCCGGGGGTCGGCCGGCTCCGTATTGTTGTGCGCGCTAGCTACCCCAGCCGTCAGTGGTTCTGGTTCTGTGTAACTTACTCTTACCTATAAGCACCGTTATCTCACATTATCCCGTATGCACATACGGAACCCGTCATTACCTCGTCAGCGCGTCCACTTATGCGTTCATGTTTTCCTTGTCACGTACTGTGTGCTCTACTACTCCCTGCCCGTGCAGGGCTAACCATAAATTGTCGCTGGAGGAAATCGAGTTGCCCCAGAACCACCCCTTTGCGACCAAGCAAAAGCTGTCAAAAGAGGAGCAGGAGCAGTCTCTCCAGAACTTGCGCGCGCGCAGCATGCGGCGTCGAAACTATGATGCCATGCAGACCGGAGTGGAGGGAGGGCGTGGTGGCCACGGGGGCTATGGGCGGCAACGATGACGTGGACGTAGGCTGGACAACGAGGTGCACTTGGCCCGTAATGACGCACGGGCTGTGTTCTCGATGCCGTCAAGCACCCGTAATGACGTGGACATTTGACTAATTGTGTTGAATTGCATATCCTTGCCAGGGACAAGGTTCGTGACTGAGTTGACAATGATGCATCTGGTTGGAATGTATATACATATTTCATGACTTATTTTAACTATGTTCCAGACGGTACACAGACAGGAAGCAGTGTAGAAGTAGCTGTGGGGGCAGGGGAATTCGGGTTGTTTGGGGTAGTCCGGGCCCTGGGTGACGAGGTCCGCCCGGTTGGTGTGGTTATTACGAGAGCCTGCGGTGAAGGCTGCAGGATGTATTTCGTGTTGCGAACGCGTGTCCGTATCGGGCCATAGGTGGGCATCATCGCCCATTGCGGGCTGTTGCTGAAGTCACAAGTGGTGAAGGTGCCTATCGACATGATGACCAACATTCCGCGTTTGACTTCGCTACACCAGGCCCTTGAGTTGGTGACAGAGTGTATATCCAAGCACCTTTTAAATTCGGAGTGGTGTCACGATTACATGACGGGAATCAGCGGGAATCATGGTGCACGCCAGGCCCTGCGCGATGGTGAACTGCATGGGTGGGCTTGAGCTCGATCGTCACTTGGCTTGAGGTGGCTGCGTCCGCCCCTTCGCAGCCAGTTCAACCAGGGAGTACAGCAGCGGCCTGCCCGAGGAGCACATATGAGCTACTAAAGTGATTGCGTAGCAGTTGGATGGCTTAACGTACTTACAGTTGTGCCGAGTTGGGCCCCTCGGGGACATTGAGGTGTGACGCCAGGAAAGCACGATCGAAGGGACGCACAGCCGGCTGCCCTGACTCTGCGGAAAGGGATTATTGTTTTTAAATGAGAGTTCACCATGGTCACAGGCTGATTAAGTCATCTTACCTGGCAAGAACACCGCCACTGTCCCGCGGTATTTATTGTAGATCTGTAGATGGCGTAATTAAGCTAAGCTCAGGGAAATTCTAAGGTCAAGGCGCCTCTCATAAGCGAACATACCAAATACTCCCGAATCAGCTCATTGATTATAAGGTTCTCGTTTGATAGCTGCGGCATGGCCTTCTGATCTGCCTGTTGTGACGACTTCAAAGTGGTTACCAAACGTCGTTTCATCTACGCGGGACAGCTCGATTTGCCCCACCTCGGTGCTCGAGTTCAGCGCAGCGAAGACATCCGCTCTCATTTGAGCTTTAAGTTTCCTCAACTTTCCAGAGCGATCCAGGTTTTCTCGGAGTGCTGCAATGAATGGATTTTCGCTGGAGTCACCTCTTCAAGAAGTTGCTTACATTTCAATACAATCATACCGTTCTTCAAATCCTCTACGCTTGCCATGTATGTAGCTTGCTAAAAAGGGGTGACCTTGATTATCCCTTATGTCAACAAGCAGATACAGTCCAAACAACAGGGTCCTTTAACAGGCGGCCTTTTGTCAAAGTTTGGAGGAAAAATAAGAGTTTACACGAGGTAATGTATCTTCGTTCATTTCCGTACGAAATCCTTCAAGTCGGTAAAACATACTTTCACCTAGTTCATCAGTACCTCGCTTCCATCATGGTGTGCCCTTGGCGTGCTGACATTTCCACGTCTTCCAAAATCTCATCTGATAGGTTGGCCTGTCCCGCACAAGCTCACATCAGTCACCCGCCGACTCCGTAGATGGGGCCAACACGCACCCGTAGCCGTACATGCCCGTCCTGCACAGAAACAACCAGGAAAAGTTGGTTCTGGATGCACCGGAATTAGTGCCCATATTTCCCTTACTTCAACACTGGGACATATTTCCCTTACTTCAACACTGGGACATCTACGCTCGACCAGTGTACGCATGGGCCGCGGATTCCGGACATGCAAACCAATTTCCTCAACCCAACAGCATCGCAACAATAAACACACATCATTTCAACCACAAGGCGGAAACTGGCTCAACTATCCCTCCAGCCATCCACCTTATACCGCCACACACGGCCCGCAACGCAACCTTACAGCTCCAACGGCATCATCGGACACGAACACACGCACAATCACTCCACAGGGTTTCCTCTTTAGAAAGAAATCACCCACCTGCCGCTCATAACCAAAGCCCTTTACAAAAATCCATCTTCCTGGGCTCCCCAGTCTTAGCATTACGTCGCATGATTGGAGCGCCATCAAACATCATCCTGCTGCGTAGACGCTAAAGCACGGATGGCGACCAGCAGGCCGACACGCACCCCTCTCCGCGGGACTCGTACCACCCAGCAGCTGTCCCAAGTCTCACATACTTCCCTACAACCGGGGCCCCTTGCTCGCTCCCCCCTATCCACTAACCCCTCCGCACACGCGACGACTAGCGCATTCTACCCAGAAGTCCGAGGCGACCACTTCCGCCGCCACTCCCGATGTAGCAGCAATGCCCCCCCCCGCGGTGGAGCGACCCCGGGGCATGTAACACCGCCGCCACTACCACCACTACCAGACAACCACCACGCAACGATAACGATGTCTCGGTGAACCCGCTCCCGCACCGTAATCCCCACCCCTCTCGCCAACTGTTGCTACTCCCCCCCCCCGGGGCCCCCGCCCTCTCATGCCCTCGCGGCCCTGCGCAGGGCCGCGACCTAGACTTCCCGGACATAAACGCATGTCCCTCCAAACTCACACCTATCCCTCACTCGCATAGCAACATACCCTCCCCTCCCAAGTCCCTCCCCTCCCTCACTACCCACCTCCGCACCCGTCTGAGTCTCCAGCCCCGGACTCACCCTCCTCCTTCTTACCGGCCCTCGACACCTCCACCACACACACACACAGCGCGGCTTCCGCCCTACCGCCGTCAGACCCCACACACCGCCCCCTCTCAGCGGTCGAACTTGGTGCAGTACTGCCCCCCCGCGAACGCCCTCAGCGCCCGGTCCCCGCAATACCCGGGTATGGAGCCCTGAGCCTCGGCCTCCGCCGCCGCCGCCTCATCATCGGTGGCCAGCTGCGCCAAGTCGCTAACCCGGGCTGAGTACAGCACGCCGTCGGACAGCACCTGTCGGGGAACGCGAGCGGCTCCACGGCCTGTAGGCGGCGCGGAGGGGGGAGAAAAAACGGAGGGTGCGCGGGGGGGAATACAGGTATTTGGGAGGAGAGAATGGACGCGGAAGACGCGAGGGAGCTATCGGACAGTGCGTCTTCACATTCGGGAGAAGAAAGTCGGGGAGAAGCAAACACAGCAGGAGGTGTGAAACGGACAGGACATTGGGGGAGAGGTACTACATGGGGTTTAAATGTACGACATATCGGGGATGCAAGCGGCTGAGGTCGGAGTGGTGGTCAGGGGGGATGCCAAACTCAGAGGGTGTTAAACAAACCGGGACGAAGCGAGTGCCCACACCCGGGTATATCGCACCACAGAAAGCCAAACCGGGATTTGAATGTGGGGTCCACCTCTTAAAACCCCCGCTGTGGAGTGGCGGTCCCGTACACTCGTACACTCACCGTACATCCCGTCTGCATCTGAGCCCGCCTTTATGAGCCCAAACAGCAGTACGGCGGTGGTCAGCAGCAGCCCCGCACTCCCGAGCAGGGTGGTCCTCAGCTTGCTCAGCACGGGCTTCACCTCGTACGTGCCCAGCAGCCGGTCGCGCATCAGCACCTCGGGGGGTTTAACGAACATCTCCCCGTCGTACCTACACGAAAAGGCGGCAGGACGAGCAGGACCCATGGGTCGGTGAGGGTTGGTCGGCGGGTCAGTGTGTTTGGAGACCCCGAGAAGGCGAGGTGGCCGACGGCGGTGGAGGTCCCCCCCCGTTTATTCCCCCCGGGGACTTAGAGGCCCAACAGTGAGGGAAAGTAGCACACACATACATACATACATACATACATACATACATACATACATACATACATACATACATACATACATACATACATACATACATACATACATACATACATACATACATACATACATACATACATCATACATACGTATGCAAGGTTAGGCACTACTGGTAATGCACACACCGATGCCGCCGGAGGTTCCGGGATCGAGACCTGTCAGGATGGAAAATTTCTTCCGATGGTGGAAGGTAAGAGTGCCCCTAGCCGATGGACGGTGGTGACCTGGGATAAAGTTAACTTGCGAGCTGACCAGGAATGGACTTGGGCCGCGGGTGCGGAACCTGAGCGATCCACTGAGAAGCCGGCTAGGGTGACTGGATGAGGGTGCCCCGAAATACCGGGGAAGGCAGGGTCTGCCGGGTAGCGGTCACAGGGTGAAGATATGCCCCCCCTGTCCCACACATCTTACGTACATATGTATATATACATGCCTGTCTCTCCCCCCGTCGAATACATGCACGACGTATGCATACCCGCATCATGACACCCACCCACCCACCCCGGTCACCCGGCACCTACCAGCCTGTTTCCTCATACGGCACCGCTGCTGACAGCAGCCGGTCCCCCACGTAGCTCCAGCCCAGGTAGATGCGGATGACCACCACCGCCACCACCACCAGGGCGCCCGTCGTGCCGCTGAGGAACCACTCCAGGGGCTGGAGGGGGGTGATGGAGGAGGTCAGGGACAGGGTCAGAGACAGGGTCAGGGACAGGGACAGGGGAGCCGCTTGGTCGGTTGAAGGAGTTCACCTGAACCGGGTGAGGGCCGGGCTCCAACCGGGCGGGGAAGGGTGGGAGGGGATGGAGGACGTGTGTGTATGTGGGCAACAAGGGCACCAAGGAGGTAGGAGGGGGTAGGAGGAGGTAGGGAGAGGTAGGAGGAGAAGGGGACTAAGAAACAACGAAACCACAACGACAGTCGCCAGGCACCCCCCGGTGTGCGGGTGCGGGTAGGACAGAGGCAGGCAAAGAGGCCGAGCTGGTCGAGGGACGAAACACGGCTACACACACATAGGGGATAAGCGGCTAGGCGGTAGGGCGACACGAAGGCAGTCTATCCGTTCCGGTCTTCCCCCGCATTAACT